CGAGGAATGTGGCTTATGCTCAGGTGACCTGGAAAGCCAGTAACGTGAAGTGATGTCACAGACAAAGCTTCCTGGAGGAGGCAGCTTTAGCCAAATGGGCTTGTGAATACCCCCACCTCTGAATTAGACTTATCCTCTCTGTCCCTGGCAGTGCTGAGCAAGCACAGACCTCCCCGGAGGGGCAAATCTAGCCTGCTGAGCTTAGCTGCTACTGAAGAACCACCCAGAACATAAGCCCCTCTGCAGGCAGGCTGTGCTGGGGACACAGGCTATGCCCAGTGGGAGGCAAGCTGAGCAGGTCCCTCACCCCACACTCGCCCGTCAGCTCCCTGGGCGGGAGTCAGGGAGGGACAGAGAGAGGCCAGGCATGTTCCTGGTGGATGCCTTTCCACATTTGGTTATTAAAAGGCAAGAAATGAGTCTGGTCCATGCATCTGAAGGCGGGGAGTCTGTCTCAGGCTGAGAATGCACAGGCTTTGATTCTTCATTCATATCAGATGGCCACCAACTCCCTCAACAAGAATAAACCCTCATGTCTACAAAGAAGTATACATTCTGTCATATGCTTCCCAGTTAAAGGAGGAGAAACCAAAGGCTCGCAGCCCCAGAGATCGGCGATGAAGCTGAGGTTTAAGCCCAGGTCTGGCCCACTCCATGGCCAGTGGTCCTTCCATATGCCCCACCCGATAACTAGGGTAGCATTAGCATTTCAGCTGCGCCAGCAGCACTATCTATATTTGGAAGTTGTATGGAAAAACTTACAAGATGAAAGACCTTTTAAGTTATGTGTATTTTTACCACAATAAAAGTATAAGTAAAGCAATAATAAAGAATAGTAAATATAAAATAGCACCCTGCTATCTACATTTATCAGTAATCTTGTGTGGTTCACAATGACGGTGGCTAACGTTTGGGAGTGCTGACTCTGCTAGGTGCTGCACCAAGCGCTGTGCAGCTTCTCACCGACTTGTGGGGCAGGAGACCCCTGGGAGGCATCTCCCCTCGTATTCTAACCTTTGAGTCTGCAACTCTCAGATGTTTCTTGGGATACCTGAGAGGACTAAAGATCTCAAAGAGTGTTCCCTTCCCCACGCCTCTCTTCTTCCTTACAACATCTGGACGGAGGAGTAGCTGGGTCTCCCAGAGGAAGGGCAAGACCCGCAGCCCCTCCACTGACAAGGGTCTCAAACAGAACCCGAGACTCTTTCTCTGCTTGGCCAAAGGTCAGAGGGACTTAGCCTTGGAGTAACTAGTTATGAGGCCTTGGACGGGTCACAGAAGTTCCTCATTCCAGCAAACGGAGGGGAAGTGACTGGTATTAGGTTGCTTTGAGGTCTAAATATGAGAATACATATAAAGCAGCCGAGGATAACAAAAGGTATGGTTATTAGGGGGCAGGAATTGGTCCCTATTCATGTCAGACAGGGAATAACAGAATGCAGTTTACAGCAGTGGCTTTCTAAAAAGCATGCATTGTCCTCTCAGCTGCTAGATGGCTGGTTCTCAAGCTTTAGCCCCCAGGGGAGGGGGAGCTGTTGAAACAGACTGCTGGCCCCACTCCCCTGGAGTTTCTGATTCTGCAGCTGCTCTGGCGTGGGGCCTGAGAATTTGCATTCTAAGATGTTCCCAGGTGATGCTGATGCGGCTGGTCTGGAGTCCAGGCTTTGAGGAGCGCTGCCCTTGATCACTGGTCCTCAGCTGTGGCTGCACCTTGGCATTGATCTGGAAGGGTCTCTGAGACCTGGATCACACTCTCAGAGATTCTGAGGCTACAGCTCCAACACTGGGCGTTTTCAAAGCTCCCAGCTGATTCTAATGTGCAGCCCAAATTGAGCACCACTGCCCCGAGTAGAGGAAGGGGAGCGATGTGGATGTAGAGTGGGCCCGCCCGGAGCGTCCGCCACACCCACCAGCCGCGAAGAGCAGGCAGCTGTGGGGAGGGGTTCGTGAACGCTCTATCATTGCTAACAATAATAAAAGCTAACATTTCTGAAATGTTCACACAGGCCAGGCACTTTCTTAAATCCTTTACATCTAATACTTCATGAAATCCTCATAACAACCCCATGAGATGTGTAATGGTGTTATTTGCAGTTTACATTTCAGCCTGATATATAAAGAAGTTGGGTCACTTGTCAAAGGTCAGCCAGAAAGTGATGGAGCCAGGATTTGAAAACAGCACGCCCACCTCAGTTCTTTTTTGAGACAGTCTCACTCTGTCGCCCAGGCTGCTCACTGCAACCTCCGCTTCCGGGTTCAACCGATTCTCCTGCCTCAGCCTCCTGAGTAGCTAGGACTACAGGCACACACCACCATGCCTCGCTCATTTTTGTATTTTTAGTAGAGACAAGGTTTCACCATATTGACCAGGCTGGTATCAAACTCCTGACCTCAAGCGATCCGCCCCTCCACACCTGGCTAGGTCCTAGTTCTTGACCACTGGGCTAAGCAGAGTGTATTTATGATTAGTTCTTGTGAAATTTTAAAAAATATTTAGTGGGAGAAAAGCTCATTTTGTGTCTACTCTTTACTCTGGAAACCTTTTAGGGGCATTGGGTCAAATATGATACAGTACTGACTTTCCAAATATTTGATTCCCCTTTTCCAAAGCACATTTGCCGGCGTGATCTTATTTCGACACCACCAACAGCATGATCTCTCTCTACCACTGTTCCCTCAACCCGTGCTCCAGTGAAATAAACCGCTTCACCATTCATTTCAACTCAACCAACATTTACTAAGGACGTACGTACTTGGTGCCAGCCAACAGGCTGCAGCTTGAGGACACAGAGATGTCAAGACCCTGGGACTCAGAGAGGCAGTGACCTGCCCAGGAGCGAGTTAAAGGCAGAGCCTGGGCCTAGCTCATCTAATGCTCTCATCTTGGAGGAGCTGAGGGATGAACCGGAGAGGAAGCCGGTGTGGCGGGCACTGCCACAGTGCTCTTGCCTGCTTTGGGACTGGCATGGCCTCTGATGGCTCCTGGAGAAAAGACTCCAAGTTGGGGGCTGGTAGGAATTAGTAGAGGGGCATGAATGCCCAGGCTTAGAGCAAGAACTTACGAGCTCCTGCTCAGACATAAGTCTTGACCCAGCTCCTTCCAGCCTCCACATACCCTCACCACTTCTCTACCCCCAGCCAGGCAGCTTCCCTATCCAAAGGGGCAATTACTCCAAGCAACCAGCAAGGCCAGAACCAGGGACTAATTTCCCAACATGACTCTGGTCTGGACTTTAACCACCAAGTGACATTATCCTTACAATCCTTGTGTCTGTTCATAATGTTAATGTGTAAATGTGAACATAGTAAATAACCATGATTTTTGTTACCCTGTTAGGGGCACATCTCTTTTTTTTAACATATCCAGAGGCCTTGAAATAGAAGGCTGGGCATGGTGGCTCACACCTGTAATCCCAGCATTTAAGGAGGCCAAGGCGGGCAGGCAGATCACGAGGTCAGGAGTTTGAGACCAGCCATGACCAACATGGTGAAACCCTGTCTCTACTAAAAATAAAAAATTAGCCAGGTGTGGTGGCGCACCCCTGTAATCCCAGCTACTTGGGAGGCTGAGGCAGGAGAATCATTTGAACCCAGGAGGCGGAGATTGCAGTGAGCTGAGATCGCACCACTGCACTCCAGCCTGGGTGACAGAGCCAGACTCTGTCTCAAAACAAACAAACAAACAAACAATATATATACATATATATATACACACACATAGAAGTGGTCCAGGACCCTCTCCACCTCTGAGAGGCTCTGCTGAGAGATCAGGGGACAGTGGCCCAGGGAAGAAAGACTTGCCCAAGGTAACACAGCAAGCCAGTGTCAGAATCCACCAAAACCAGGACTTCTGACTCCTACCCAGGTCTCCTTGGGGCTCTGAAGGACCCCCTCACCAAAGAAACCTGCTTGTAAATGTCCCAGTTCTGAAGCAACTCATATCTACCTACGGCTTCAGCCACCACCTTTATGCAGGCCACCCTAGCCCAGACCTCTCCCACGAACGGCCCCACCCAGAGGTCTCACAAGCATCTCAGAGCCGAGGTTCCAACTCTGAACTAACCACCTTTCCCTTGAAATCTGCCCCACCCATATTCCCTCTCCCCCAACCCTCAGCTGCTCAAGCCAGAAACACAGGTGTTACCCCAGGCAGCTTCGCCTTCAACACCCCCGCAACCTCCAGTAAACCGGGAGGGCCCTTGGTTCTTCCTGCCTTTTACCTTTCTTGAGCCCATCCCTTTCCCCTGCCCCCTACCACCGCATGAAGGCAACCTCATCATTCCAGACTTCATCCATCAGAACAACCACTCCCTTCAGTTCACGCTTTCCTTCGACAAATGCCTGAACACTCACTGTGGGCCTGGCACTCTACCCTGGGCTAGGGTGCAGCACTGAGCAAGACAGCCAAGAATCTGTCACTGGCAGGACTGCACAAAATCGACCCTGACCATATCTCTCCCCTGCTCTGATCCCTGGCTGGCGACAAACCGCCCCTGGGTTCAAGTGCAAACTCCCCCATGCAGGTATTCACATTCCTGAGCCCTCCAACCGCCCTTGATCTTTCCAGACTGGTCTGTCATTGTGCCCTGACCAGAATGATCCAAACAAGCTCTTGGCCATCCTCCCCAACACCAGCCCAAAGACCACCTCCTCCACAAAGCTTCCCTGCCTAAGTCACCCACCTGACAGGGTGAGTTTTGCCTTCTTTTGGAATCCCATTGAAACCCAGGATTTGTGTGTCTGCCTCCCAGACTGGGCTGTGATTCCAGGCGCTCAGGGGCCCAGCCGTCGCCAAGCACAGAACCTGGCACTGATGGGCATCAATGTGTTGTGTTGATGGATAGACAGACAGAGGGGTGGGTAGAGCGAAGTCCAACTGCCTTTTTCATTCATTCGGTCCAGTGCCTATGCCTTTGTCGTTTTCTGCAAGTCCCTCCAGCTGTCTAACCTCCCCTGCTGGCATTACGGAAGCTCATGCCCATTTCTTCTCTCAATCTGTCCCCTTCCCTTCCCCAAAGCCCAGACTGTCCTGCCTTTCCCTGACTGGGCAGCAAGTCAACAAGAACAAAGGTTTGGGGAGCCGACCAGGGAAAGGCCAGCCCGGGCCTCTCGGGGTCTCAATCCCTTGGCCTGTGTGTGTGCCAGAGCTTCCCACAGATTCGGGAAGAAGGTGCCGGAGGCTGGCCGGGCGGCCTTGCGGTTTGAAGCAGTGAGTCACCTTCTGGCTGCAAGTCAAGGAACTCTCACTGCGCCCTTGTTTGGACAAGACGGGGAGGCGCACTCAGAGTCAGAGACTCCGGGAGCAGAGACCGGAGCAGGAAGAAGGGGTCACCGAGACCTCAAGAAGTCAGGGAGACAGACGCCCAAAGGACCGAGACAGCCAGGGACAGGTAAGGCACGCAGAGAGAAGGACAGAGGCAGCCGGCCCAGAACCGATGGGCAGTGCAGGGAGAGGAATCGCGCCACCGGTGTAGACGGCTCGGCTCCCTGCGCACGCTCAGTCCTCCTCCTCCCGGCTCCCACCTCAGGCCGGGACCCGGACATAGGCAACAGCGGAGCCAATGGGCTTCCAGACCGGGACATTACCTCACCAGAACCGGCTGCCATTGGCCGGCGTCCCCGCCGGGGCGGGCTGTTGCTATGACAGCCCAGGCCGGCCTTGCAGAGGATGCTCGGAAGAAGGTCCGGGAGGAGAGCCGCGTCCGCACCTCTTTCCAGGCTGCGGTGGGGCCCAGGGACCTCTCCCCTTCCACTGAGCCCCAGAGACCCCCACTCAGGCCGAAAGGGGAAAGCCCCGCTCCTGCTGGCCCAGGCGTCAGAATTCCTGTAAAAACGCCCATTCGGCCCCCTCGCTCAACCTGGCCCACAGTCCCTTGCCAAGACCACCCCTGCCCCCGACACACCCTGGAACCACACGCTCATCCATAGATCCTGCAAACAGCAATGAGCACCCTCCAGCATCCAGGTGCAGCGCTGGGCTCTACAGAGGCAAAGATGAGTCCACCTCCCCCTCTGTCCTCACAGAGCCCCCCCCCCCCCAGTCTGATCAAGCAAGCAGTCCAGGAGAAAATGACAAGGCAGTGTGTAAGGACTAAAAGAGAGCGAGCACGGGGGCTGTGGGAACATAGAGGAGGGATCCCTACTCAACCTACCAGATCAGGGGGACTGCTGGGAGAAAGCATGCAGAGCCAGGACCTGAAAGAGCCAGATGAGGAAGGGTGGGGAAGGGATTCGAGGCAGAAGGGACAGCCTGTGCAAGGACTGCAGGCAGTAAAAAGCAAGGAACACTCGAGGTAGGAAATTAGATGGTGGGGTTGGGGGCCTTGGAGAAGAGGAGGAGTTTAAAGCTGAAAGGGAAAGCAGGAATGAGATCCCAAAGGACTAGAATGCCGTGCTAAGGCATCTTGGACCACATTCTCAGGCAGTTCGTTGATGGAAGGGGAGAGGGCTATGATTAGGTTTGCATTTTAGGAAGATCTCCACTCTTGCAGCTGTGTGGAGGATGTGGGGGAGGGGACTAGGAGACCAGTCATTGCAGGGACTGGGGAGAGGCAGTGCAGGGGGGACTGAGGCCCCTAGCTGGAGTGAAGATGGAGAGACCTAAACTCAGGAGGAGGTGTAAAGGACGTGGAGCCACAGTTCAGGTGACTGTGGAGATGGCACCAGCTCACCTGGGAGGCTGGGAGGGCTTTCCTGGCAACCAGATAGGATCATCACTCTCCTTCCATATGATATTGGTGTCAGCTTGTGTATTCAACTTTTGTTTCAAGAGTCATGCTGCATTTGAAAAGATGTCTATCTCTTTTCACAGCTCCCCACCCCCTACACACACACACACACACACACACACACACACACACACACACACACAGGCTGTGATTCATCTCGGTTCCCAGTACTCAGCACAGAGCTCCATCCCATTCATCCCAAATACACTTCCATAAATCTGAACCCTCATCACCCCCTCCCCATGACCCTTGCCCCAGCCTCCACCCATCCCTCCCAGCCTCTACCCTTCCTTCCCAACCGCCATGCACCTGATTCCCATCTCTTTAGTCATGTCGTAGCTACAACCTAGAAACTGGGGCTGCTACCCCCCTCAGGCCTATGTCCGCCCCTCCTATTATCCCTCAGCAGGGAGCAAAAGTTGCCTATCTGTTGGGTCAGATTTCTGAAGACTGATGAGGCCCATTTTCTGGTAAGTGGGGTCATTATAGTGCAATCATTGGGTTGTTATGAGAATTAAATAAGGTTTTGTTGCCTGGCACATGTAACTGTCCAATCAATCAGCTATAGTAATGATATTATCATGAGTGTTAAGGAGGACAGAGAGGGCTGGCTAGGACTCCAGTATGGCACAGCCCTGCTTTGGGTTACCTGGTGTTTGCTTCGCTCATCACAGAGTGGTGTCTTGACTTCTCATTTGTCACACATACTTGTTATGTACTCTCTCAAGGAAAAACACAAAACAAAGAGAGTGGGACAAGAGTCCTGGATTTCTGTCATGATACCACCTGAATACCATCAAACTCACGGAAATCCTTGATGCAGTGGTTACAGATGTCCTCTCCCAAGGAGCCAAGACAGGACAATTGAGTGGCTTCTTAAATGTCAAAAGACTCCATTCAGATCTTCCAATCAAGGAAACTTCAGCTGTCAGAGCTGGCGATGCCCTTAGGATCCTCTTATTCAACCTTTAGTTTGACATATGAGAAAACTGAGGGCCAGAGAAAGCAAGTGAGTGCCCAGAGTCACACACCTGGGTCAACCAGCAGAACCAGAGTCATTTTAGGCACCCAGTTTCCCCCTCACTGCACTTTTCCAAATCTGGTCTGTCTTGCAATTGAACAGTGACTAGAATCTTCTCTAGCCAGGGCATACTTAGGGCTTTCACATGCTGGTTTGTTTGTTTGTGTTTTGCCTTGTTTTGTTTTGTTTTTTGAGACAGTCTTGCTCTGTCGCCCAAGCAAGAGTGCGATGGCAGTATTGGCTCACGGCAACCTCTGCCTCCTGGTTCAAGCCATTCTCTTGCTTCAGCCGCCTGTGTAGCTGGGATTAAAGGTGCGCACCACCACGTCCAGCTAATTTTTGTATTTTTAGTAGAGACGGGGTTTCACCATGTTGGCCAGGCTGGTCTCAAACTCCTGACCTCATGATCTGTCTACCTTGGCTTCCCGAAGTGTTGGAATTACAGGCGTGAGCCACCACGCCCGGCCCCACATATTGTTACATTAAACATTCATGACAGCCCTGCAGGGTGGGTATTGTTATTCCTATCTGAAAGGTCCAGAGAGAAAGTAGTTCCTCCAAGATCACACCGTGTTACCCAAGCCTGTCAGGTTCCAAGGCCCATGTTCTTGGCATAGCAGTGTGTTGACTCTAAGACTCTCAGTGTGGTGTATTTGGAGCTCGTGGGCATCACAGTGATTTGCCAATATAATCACTAAAACAAGAAGAGGTGAATCTGCTACTTGCTGAAAATGAAAGAGGACCTGGACTCTTCCGCACATCAGTGCTTTACATACCTGCTCTGTTGTGTGGAAGCGCTCCTCTAAAAGCAGTAGGAGTCAAAGGGCTATGTCCCATCTGAGGGTCTAGAAGAGAACCAGCTAGGAGACTGGTTTCCCAGCTACGCTTCGGCACATTTTCTGAGTAAGATGCGGCCACCCGTGTTCTCTGAGGAGAGGGTCCTCAGAATGAAACACAGGAAACTATGTTTTACTTTTATTTTTATTTTGAGATGGATTCTCATTCTATTGCCCAGGCTGGCATTCAATGGCATGATCTTGGCTCACTGCAACCTCTGCCCCCCAGGTTCAAGTGATTCTCCTGCCTCTGCCTCCTGAGTAGCTGGGATTACAGACACCTGCCACCACGCCTGGCTAATTTTTGTATTTTCAGTAGAGACGGGGTTTCACTATGTTGGCCAGGCTGGTCTTGAACTGCTGACTTCAAGTGATCCACCCACCTCAGCCTCCTAAAGTGCTAGGATTACAGGTGAGAGTATGTTTTAATGAAGTCTCTGCATGAGTTTGTGGATCTTGAAGTGGTCATAGGTTCAAGATATCATGTGGAAAAGGCCAAGTAGGTGACATCTATAAGGACAAATGGACTACATTCACTTCATTGTCACTGGAGGCTCCCACAGCACAGTGCTCCGCAGCCTTTTCCAGGCTTTGATGGAGGAAGGGCAGTGTCCCTCAGCACTGAAAGAGATGCCATCCTTTATGGCAAAAAAAAAAATTATCCTACATCTTCAAGAGGTTCTATTTCTAGCTCTAGAAAACACTACAACTGTTGATCAGCCTAAAAATTGTGCTGTATCTGGCTCTGGAATTTTCTCTGTCCTTGGCTCTGGAAAATATTCCAGAGACATTTATAGTCCCACAACATTGTTGACTCTAGGGAAAACTCCATGGCTCCAGAGGACCTTCTGCTCCTCTGCTCCTCGTTTTGAAATTCTGCAGCCTGTTTTCGGAGGACCCTTTCTCACTGATATTGCTCTGTTCTGCCCTCCTGGCTCCAGATTATCCAATCCCATTTCTGGAAGACACTCTGACTGTGAAGCAAAAGAACTCTACACCTGGCTCTGGAGGGCTGATTCTCTGTGAAGGCAGAGGACCACCTGACTGGCCTGGAAGACTGACTGTCCATACTCTTCTTCCAGGATCTGGACTTGACATCCCTGGCTCAAAAAGATTGACTATTTAGGGATCCGAAGGGCCTCTCTAGCCGACCTGCTGTAATACCATATTTCACAAGTGCTCTCTTGACCCAGTTTTGAGATCCTGGCTAAAACCTCTCAACTCCTCTTTGTCACTTTGCTCAGACTATACCTTAACTCCTCCAAACTCTAGGCGTGGAGGTGGCTGTGCCCCTGTATCTAGATGACTCTCTGGAATAATCTTCATTCCTGGCTTCTGGAGTAGGAAGGGGAAATGTGGATGGGTTGGAGGCATAGGAAGATAAGAGGAAGCATGGAATGGCTGCCGTGACATCTGTTCTGATCAGCAACCTGAGCTGGATTTGAGTTCCACGGTCATGGGCTGGAGGCCGGAATTGTTCAAATTTCATTTCCATGAGCAGCTTGGTGAGGTTCTGGGTTCAACAGACAGAACCAATTTTGGTTCTGCAGTGCATGAGGCCCAGATTTGGGGAAATGGAGACTGTTCTCCCCATAGCTGTTGACCCCAGCAAGGTTCATGGAGCCTGAAGGTGAGGCATCCTGGCCAAGATGTGCAGAATGATGGACCCTGGCCAAGCCACTTTATGGACAGAAACGTGGACAAGTGGAGTCAGGGCAGAAAAGAGGGCACATGACAAAATTCCCATGAGGTCTGAAGTCAGAGCTATTCAAAGGCCTTTCTCACTGAACCAAACACCCATACCCCATCCCAGGCCTTCTGCATTCCTCCTGGAATCACCAGCACTAAAGTTTAAAAATTACATTTCCCTGACATCCTTCGAGTTGGATTTCCACTGGGTTCTGCCAATGGAATGTATCCATGCGAGATTCTGGAACTAGTATCAGACAGAGTCCAAGCTGCTAACTTTTATCAATGGCAATGGCAATAGTCGAGCAGCGTTGACGGTGAGTACAGACTTGTGAGCCCAAAATGATACCACGTTCCTTTTTCACTGATACTTCCAACATTTTTATGACCAATTCCCTAAATTAAATCACTTTGTCTGAAGTACCTAGAGTGGTTTCTGTTTACCTGACACTTATCAAAGATTTGAGAGTACCTACTACGTGCCAGATTTCCTAAGAATGAGGAGTATGAGACTGAACAAGAGCAGAATAGTGGTTGGGGTCAGAGAGGTTGGGCAGGAGCAAAGCCATGCAGGGCCTTTTAAGCCAGAGGAAGAAGTTTGAGTTTCAGTCTGATTTCAATGATAAGAGCATCTTATTCAGGGAAGGGAAGGTATGTGATTTATGACTTGAGCTCTATGACAGATGAAGTCTAGCAGGCTGTAATAGAAAGGAGGGATAGAGGCGGCTACTTGAAGACTTCAAGCTGGAGATGACAGACTGAAGCTGGGGGGGAGGAGCTTACCGTTATAACATTAGGGGCTGACGATGGTAGGATGAACTCACTGACCTCTGATGAGGTGACAAGCAGAACTCTATTACTTACAGCATCAAGTGGGAGAAAGTTGCCATGCAGGGCCATGTAGGGTGTTGCACCAGGGACAGGGGAACAGAAAGCTAGAATGTAGGAGGCAGTTTCTGTCTGGCAAGTGGAGTGGGGTTAGCAGGTCTAGGGGCTTCTTGTGGTTTGGGAATTTTGAGTGATTTCACAGACCCAAGGAAGAAGGGTTCATCCTTTGATGTATAGCAAAGAATTCCTGGGCGTGACCCAGGAGTGTCAGAGCCCAGTAAGGAAAGGGGTTGGGGTGCAGACTCAGCAAAGTGCCCACTAAGAGGAATTGAGAGTTTTTAGCCAAGATCTCAAAATTGGGTCAAGAGAGCACTTGTGAAATACAGCATAACAGCATGCCAGCTAGAGAGCAGTGCGCGTGATCAGGATCTGCTTTAGAGGTAGAGCTGATGGGACTTCCGACGGATTGGATGTGAGAGAAAGAGGGATCTTGACCATGGACTTCCAGAATCAGAGGGCTCTGATTTTGAGACCTCTCATCAGATACAAATAAAGATGTTTGATAACATTTTAAAAACATATTCAAATAAACGAAGGGCTAACAAGATAGTGAGAAACAACCAGGGCTAGTTAGAAGGAAATATATAAGAACCCAGAGAGGAAAGCATCACAGAAGCCACTTTTGCCCTGAAAACACTGGCCAAGAATAATAAAGAACAGGTGCAAACAAACAATATCAAAAATAAAGGGCAGGTGCATCATCACCGATACTTCAGACATCAAAAAGAAGAGAACGTGATGAAAAACTGCATGCCAATACATTCGAAATTTTAAATGAAATAGGTAAATCCTGAGAAAAAGATAGGTTACTAATACCGACTCAAGTTAAAAAAAAAAAAATGCTCCAACCACTTTGGAAAAGAGCTTGGCTATTTCTAGGAAAGCTGAAAACTTTCTCTGTGACCAGCCATTATAATCCTAAGTATATACCTTAAACAAATTCAGGCATATGTGTTGTCATTAAAATGTGTAGGAATATTTTTAGAAGTACGGAAGCACTGTTTTTTTTTTTTTTTTTTTTTTAGACGGAGTTTTGCTCTTGTTGCCCAGGCTGGAGTGCAATGGCGCGATCTCAGCTCACCGCAACCTCCGCCTCCTGGGTTCAGGCAATTCTCCTGCCTCAGCCTCCTGAGTAGCTGGGATTACAGGCATGCGCCACCATGCCCAGCTGATTTTTTGTATTTTTAGTAGAGACGGGGTTTCACTATGTTGACCAGGATGGTCTCGATCTCTTGACCTCGTGATCCACCCGCCTCGGCCTCCCAAAGTGCTGGGATTACAGGCGTGAGCCACCGCGCCCGGCTCGGAAGCACTGTTAATGCTAGCTGGGGCTGGGTGTGGTGGCTCATGCCTGTCCCAGCACTGTGGGAGGCCAAGGCAGGAGGATCATCTGAGGTCAGGAGGTCATGACCAGCCTGGCCAACATGGTGAAACCGTCTTTACTAAAAATACAAAATGTAGTCGGGCGTGGTGGAGCCCACCTGTAATCCCAGCTACCTGGGAAGCTGAGTCAGGAGAATCACCTGAACCAGGGAGGCGAAGGTCGCAGTGAGCCGAGATCACCACTGCGCTCCAGCCTGGGCAACAGAGCAAGACTCCATCTCAAAATAGAAATAATAAAAATAGCTGGAAATTGGAACAACATAAATATCCATTAAGAGTAGAATGTGGCATACTATGTAGTACAGTGAAGTAATATGCAACAATGAAAACGTATGAAGTACAGTTACATATAACAGGATGAGAATTACAAGTATAATATTGAAAGATGTAAAAAATAAGTATTCTGTGATTCCATAAATACAAAGTTCAAATATAGGCAAACATATATGTATATATATATAGGCAAAACATATATATATATGTATGATTTATGAGAAATTTTTGAGTGCTGGCAATATTATTTCTTGACCTGAATGGTAGTTACATGAGTGTTTATCTTTACTTGTTAAATTATGCATTTATTTTCATAACTTTCAGTATATAATTTCTGTTTTATGATATAAAAAGTGTTCCAAGGAATTATTAAAAGAATGGAGCTAGGCAACTGGATGAATAATGGTGCCAATTTCTGATTTGGAGAGAGTTCCAAAAAAGGAGTGGGAAGTGGAAAGATGGAGAATCCATAAATGAGAGATTCATTCTTGCCATATAAATTCTGGCATGCCTGTTGGACATTCAAGAAAAGATCTCAAGCCTGTAATCGAGGATTGAGTCTCAGAGGAGAGGCCCCAAATCTCCATCTCAACTGAGTGGAAGAAGATATTTACAACAGACATAGCTGGCAAACAGCTTACATCAGAATATATAAAGAACTCCTGCAAATGAGTAAGAAAAAGACAGACAACTTGGTGGAAAATTGGGCAAGAGACTTGAGCACACTAGGTTTTAATGTAAGAAATTACACAACTGGGTCGTTGTATAGGAATGAAGTGAAACCCAGTAGCTTGGAATCCCCTTCATTGAGTCAAGAGACTGGTCGTTTCAAGGAAAGGATCTAGGATGCAAAAAATCAAAACATGTATTTTTGATTAAATCTCAGGCAAACAGCGAGAGTTTAGAAAGTATCGCCGGGCGTGGTGGCTCACGCCTGTAATCCCAGCACTTTGGGAGGCCGAGGTGGGTGGATCACGAGGTCAAGAGATCAAGACCATCCTGGTCAACATGGTGAAACCCCGTCTCTACTAAAAATACAAAACATTAGCTGGGCATGGTGGCGCGTGCCTGTAATCCCAGCTACTCAGGAGGCTGAGGCAGGAGAATTGCCTGAACCCTGGAGGCAGAGGTTTTGGTGAGCTGAGATCGCGCCATTGCACTCCAGCCTGGGTAACAAGAGTGAAACTCCATCTCAAAAAAAAAAAAAAAGAAAGTACCTGTGACGTGACTGATAGAATCTCACCACATGATGGAAGCCAGCCTGTCAGAAGCCTGGGAAGCCCCAACAGCCTGGGGCCTCTGTTGGTCCAGGATCTTGGACTGGTGTCCCATGGCTTAATCTTTGGGATTCAACCAAATAAAGTTACCCCACCCATGTTATGGACCCAAGCAACCTACCAAGCATCCTTAGCTTAAATGCAAGATAATACTATTTTGTTCATCTTGACTGGAGTGAGAAATGAATACCTCCGTGCGCATATATTTCTTTTACCACAACAAGATGATGAAGAAATAAATTCATAATGTTGATACTTTTGTATAAGTCGCATTTACAGTTGCAGTAAGAAATTTTATAATCGTTGATTTGCTTCATATAGTTTCTGCTTGCTTTTTATGATATTTAAAACAAAATCTAAGCAACAAATTATATGTGTGATTAGATTTACAGAAGTTGCTTAAGTGCTTAGGAATAAGTTGCTCATCATATTTGTAAGTCTCCCTTGTTAGGTGTTTGAAGTGTTTGAATCGGCTAAATTGAATTTGTAATTGTAGTTTGAAATATCTAAAGGAATTTGCTTAATTAAATGTTTAAATGATATTAAAAGTTTATGAGAATTTAATCTATCAAATTTAACAGTTAATTGAATATGAATCAATGAACAAGTAAATGTGATCTTGCTTTTATAAAAAAACTACTAAGTTCATAAATAAAATATAAAGATCCATAAGTGGAGAGGAAAAGGAAAAGCAGG